TGTCCAATTGTTCCAACACCGTTTGTTGAAAAGACTACCCTTTCTCCGTTAAATTACCTTTGCTCCTTTGTCAAAAACTAACTGGCCAGACTTTGTGTGGCTCTATTTCTGGATTCTATTCTGTCCCATTGATCTATGGACCAGACCCCTCCACCAATTCCATGCTCTTGATTACTGTCACTTTATACAGTAAGTGAAAATCAAGTAGTGTGATTCCTCTAACTTTATTCTTTTTCAGAATTGTTTTGGCTATTCTAGTTCCTTTGCTTTTCAATATAAATTTTTAAATCAGCTTGTCTGTATCTACAAGAAAACCTTGCTGCAATTTTCATTGGATCTTTGACATTTATAGATAAATTTGAGGAGACATGAGTTCTTTAGTATGTTCAATCTTGCAATCCATCAACATGGTACGTCTCTAAACTTACTTCATCTTCTTTATAGGTCTTTTTTGTTTTTAATTTACACAAAGGCTGAAAGCTACTAATGCTTACTAGTAGCCTTTGAAAACAAAAAACATGACTGAAACATACTAAGGGAAAAGAAACAGCAAAAACCTGAAATTCTGCTCAGCTCCTGAATAACGGGCATTTAACACTTTCAGGTGAAGCTCCAGCAAAAGAAAAACCACTTCACAGTAACACAAAATTGCTTCTAGCTCTAATCTTGACCTGTCTCATTTTAAAGCAATATGAATGGCTTTCCTAACATAAGTATGAATTTAAGCCTTTGGAACCCACACATGACATTATGCAATTAGAGCACAGTATATGCAATTCAAACATGCATTCATTCAATAGATATTTATTCCACATTTACAAAAGGCTGGCATTATTTTAGGTACTGGGGACAGAGTAAACAACAGAGTCCTTGTTTGAAGCCTCCTTTCTAGGGAGAGAGACTTTGAACATGTAATACAACAAATAANCACGCGCGCGCGCTCCGGGTTAGGATGTGTGCTCAGAATTCAGGTTGCCTGGGTTTAAGTCCTGCCTCAGCCCACAACTAGCCCTGTGCCCAGGCAGGCTACCTAATGTATCAATTCTCATATGAAAATACCTCTGAGGCAATAACAGCACCTAGCTCCTAGGACCGAGTGAAGACTGAATAAGAGAACGCATGTACAGAGCTGTTCAACGGCTGGCACAAAGAAGGTTCACAGCTATTATCATTGCCCATTTGCTGCTACGAGCACTGGGCGGCAGCCAGAAGGAAGTGTCCCTGGAGGGAAATGCACGCTTCGTCTCACACCTCTGCTCTGGCTCCAGCCATGGACAGCACTGACCAACAGGCCTTTGGCCCGTCCTTAGCCACACCAGGCAGCTCTGGCCAACCCTGTCCTTTCCTGCCAGGTTCTACAGCACTGGTTGCTGCCCTTGGCTTTGGCCCAGCTCCCAACTTGACCCCTTGCCAGCCTAGCTCTACAGAACCCTGACTCGGAGCCTGCTGGTCTAGGTCCCACACCAGCCTCTCTGGGAGGAAGAGTCGTCTCTGAGCTACCTCAACCCCACCTTCTGTCCCTAGAGCCTAAAATCTGCTTCTGCCCCACGCGGGGCACAGCTGCGCCGGCTACCTACCTGAGCAGGTCGATGTCAGTGTAGCCGTATTTGACCTTGTAATCCCCAATGCGCCTGGTGCTCTCCTGCCCGCAGATGATCCCCACTTGCTTGATCTTTCCTGCGTCCAAACCTACCAGGTGGAGAAAAAATGACAACTCCAGACCTTGTTCATACTATAGGATAAAAAGAAGGGGCCACAGACACATCCACGAAATTAGGCACCGAGGGCCCACTGAACAGGAAATGAAGTCACACGAGACACCTTGGAGAGTGGCTAAACCAATGTCCCCCAGTCCTCATCCCCATCAGAACACCCCCTCACTCGGAGCCCCTCCTCCACGCTTGGTCAGATCCGGCAATGCCCCGCACAGTTGCCGGGGAAGGGAGGGGTGGCCGCGGCAGCGGCTGATCTCAGGACTTCTTTGGCCTCTCTGTCTCCACCAACAATGAGCACGCCAGGTACTCTTAGAAGCATTTTACACACTTTAACTCTTTACGTCCTCACCGCACCCTGAGGTAGGTGTTACTATTATCTCATTACAGAGATGGGGAAACTGAGGCACAGGAAACTTGAGTTAGTTCCAAACATCACCAACTAGTAAGCCACAGAGCTGGGACTCAACCCCAGCAGGCTGGCCCCAAGCCCAAACTCACAGCCCATCCACTTCACGCCTCTCTCTACATGACCACAGGAAGAGGGCAAGGCAAGGGGAAGCCACAGAGGTCGCCGGCCCACGGCTGCCCTTGGCCCCTGTCCCCCACTCACCCAGCTGTGAGAGGCGGAAGAGCTCATCCTCATTCTCTGTGGTGTGGTCCATGTTCAGCTGTGTCACCTGCAGCCCGTCCACCGTGGATTTGCATAAAAGCGCACGGTTTGTACCTGCAGCAGAATTGGAGCAGCTGAGCCAAGACTGAGAACAGGAAGAAAAGGGCATGCTTTGAAGAGAGAGAAGAGAGAGGGAGAGAAGGCAGGCATCTCACATGTGGAAATCCTTGAAACAAGCAAAGAAAATAGGCTCAGACCACTGGTGAGTCACCTGTCAAGGAGAGCTGGTGATATTAAGGAATTGGGTCAAACTTTCCTGGTGCCACCCTAGGATGATTATGATGTTAGTAAGAGACCTCTTCTCTAAGGAGATGTACTGAAATATTTACAGATACCGTGCCACGATGTCTGGGGTTTGCTTCACAACAATGAGGGGACAAAGGGCAGTAGATTACATGAGACTGGCCACGAGAAAAGAACTGTTAGGGCTGGGGCTACGCACACGAGGGTTCATTAAATGCTAGTCACTGCATTTTTTTTACATTTTTGTATTTTTCCCATAATGAACTCTGAAGGACAGGAAGAAGAAAAGAGGGAAATTACCAGTGGGGTCTCTACAGGGCTCCCACAGTCATCTGTACCCTGGGGGCACGGCTTTCTCAGGGTCCCAGATGGCCCCCTTCTTTGCCCGCAAATCCCACAAAACGTCCCAGTGGCCCCTCACCTGTGGCCCACACCCAGCCCATCATGGGATGCCAAGTGGGTCTTCCACAGCCAGCAACCTCTTCCAAAAGAGGAAGCCACTGAGGAGACCCAGACAGGCGACAACTCCTCCAAGACCACAGCCAGGGGCAGCATGGGGACTAAAGCCGGGCGCCGGCCTCCCAGCCAGTATTTCCAATTCTCCCCAAGACTTGTGGAGTAACAAGGAAACCCATTCAGTGACCTTGGCAGAATCGGGCTGGAGTCCACATGTCTGGAAAGCAGACTGTCCAGAGAACGCACAGAACCCCAAAGCTGACCTTCTCTCCCAGCCCTCCCCGCCCTGGGGCAGACAGGTGGCTCACCTACGTTGGCGACGTAAAGCTTGTTGTTGAGAAGGACCGCCACGACGGCCATGGCCCCTCCTGAAATCTCCCTCTCCAACACCTTGAGTCTTTCGAGGATCTTCTGATATTGAGGAGGCAGCTGGTGCTGGGGGACCCCCTATAAGCCATCACTGGGGGTCAGAGCAGGCCGGGTCTGCAGAGACCACCTCCCCTCCCCTCCCCTCCCTTCAGAGCAGGGGTCTGAGGGCGTGGCCAGCAGGCTCCTCCAGGAAAGCTGGAGAAGACCGAACTTGTCCCGTCGGCTCTGAACGTGCTGGTGGGTGGTGTGAGCAGGTAGGTGACAAGGCTGTGGACAGATTCCGGTCAAGGACGGACCTGAAGGGCCCTTCCTCACAACCTTCACTGCCCGCCCCGTGATGAGCCTGAGGAAAGCTGCCGACAGCAGGCCAGGGGGGCCCCTTGAAGGGGAACCCACTGTCAGGAACTGTCGCCCTAACTCCTGCTGCTCTGGCCCGACAGGATCAGTGGCCTGAGAGTGACATGGCAGATGAATCCTCGCTCCTAGAAAAGCTGGCCTTGAGATGCTTCTCCCAGGGAGCAGGCTGGGGGATCACCTCTGGCAGCTGGGACTGAAGGCTGGCCTTCTCAGCTAAAGCATCATCGATGGACTCCAGGAAGCTCCTCTCCACCACATCGAAGGCCTGGGGACACGAAGAGGACAGGGACAGGGGTCAGGACAAAGGCCACCAAAACACCTGCTGCTGAAACACCCAGTTAGTAGCAATACACTGTATCACGCGCAGGTCATCGTGTAACGGGGCTTTGCACGTGGCACTGAGGAGTGACCAGCGAGGTTAAGAGCACACACAGGTTTAGAATCAGGCCACCTGAAGGTGAGCTCCGGCTCTGCCGCTTGCCAGGTAGCAGTCTCGGTCTCTTCATCTATGAACAGAGGTACGTGTTGTTCTGCTGGTGACCGAGCACTCAGTACCTGGCTCAGAGTAAGTCTAGGTCAGCGACAGCTAGTGTCATTACCACAGCCTGCTGGCTGCTCGACACTGGGCACGCTGCTGCCTTTCCTGGGGGACCAGCTGAGAGCCACTGGCACAGGGCCCTGTGGCTGGGCAGGGTGCTCTGGCCCTCCAGCGCTGAGGCAGGAAAATAAAGGGCTGGGGACGGTTTTTGAGGAACAGGAATGGTTCCTCAAAACTCCAGACATGGTTCCAACAGGAGGTGCCAGGGAGAAAATCTCCCAAACAGCAGCAAGCGGAAATGCAGAGCTGGCAAAGGAGCACCAGCCAACCGTAAGTGAGGAGGTGAGGCCCAGGGTGCCGGCAGCGGCTGGAGGCTGAGCACTTGAGCCACACCTGAAAGGGGCCATCCTGATGACCCTAGATCAGCCCGCCCACTACACCCCTTTGTCCATGGTTCTGTCCCTGACTCCCCATTCCCTGGGACTATCTCCTCCAGAGCCAACCCAGTTGTGGGGAAGGGCCGCTGCCAACTGCCTGCTCCTGCACTCCAGGAAGCAGGGCGCCCCTGCCGCTGAGAGATGCTCCTGGAGCTGGGTCCTCATACTAGCCCTGGCTAACACCACACTCTACAGTTAGCAGGGCCAAGTTCCGGGCAACATGACCCACCCAGGCTGGGTCTGCGGGGCCGAGCACCAGTACCTGCAGCAGTACACGCCGCACGTCAGCATCTGTGTGCTCGGCATTGAGCTGGCCCAGCAGGAGCTCTGCGGACAGCCGCTGGGCCACGAAGTTGGTCACCCGGTTCCCATCGTAGCCATTGAAGACCCCATACAGGAAGCAGTTGTTCTCACTCCTGACAAGAGACAGAAAGAGGCAGGAGACAGCCTGAGATGAGGGGCTCACAGAAGAGTGACGGCAGTGCCAGAGTGGATGGGGGAGAAGGGAAAGGAATTAGGGGAGACCAAAGATAGAGCAGCTGCGGTTTCAGGTGCCTAGCCGGGTGTCCCGACTTTGACCATCACTTCACTCTGGCCATGACCTTTGGGGATGCTCCCCATCCCACTGTAGTCCCCCTGTAGCAGGCCCTAGGCTGGTTGAGGTCTAGAGTGGAAGGGACAGCAACGGATGCCACCTCCCACGGGCCACACCTCACTGGCAAGGCCCATGCAATACAGTTGCAAAACTGCTGCCTCTTCTTGCTTGCGAACCTACTTCCAGTGCCCAGGACAGCCCTCCTGACACTCTCACCTGAACTTGAGCCAGCTGTCCTCCAGCGGATGGCTCTCAGTGCCCTTGCCATCAGCAGAGTAGCTACGGTTGGAGGCTGAGCCCACCCCAGAGAGGTGGCAGAGCGGCAGGTCATCTGTCCAGCTTGGCTGTTGCTCCTGGGGAGGACACCAGAAAACCATGGAAGTGTCACCTTCTCCTCCAGGGTAGAGCCCTTCTTTTTCTTCCCCAACAAAAACCCAGCAGACCTAGAGAACCCCCCAGAACAGGGGTCGGCAAACTTTTGAGACGGAAGAGCCGCCCCAGGGGTCAGCAAACTGTGGCTTGCGAGCCACAGGCTCTGAAATAAAATTGAAAATGAAAATAAAACTATCATAGTTTCATGTGTAAAAATTTTAAAGGATAGTATTCACATAATGGTGATTGTGTGAAAATATATTTATGGCTTTTGAATAATTTTTAAATTGTTGTGAGAGGCAGGATTGGCTCTTCCAGGGGTTGGCAAACTTTTGACACGGAACGTACCCAAAGAGCTGCATGTGGTTTGCAAGCCGCAGTTTGCTGACCCTTGCCCCAGAGGGTTCTGCTTCCTTCTGGAAAATGACACTTGTAGGAACAGACACCTGCCCAGGGTGTGCAACACGAAAGACACAAACACAATGAAGGAAGCTCTTGGCAGAAAACTCTTTGGTGGCTCTGACTCCCAATCCCTCAGGCACTGGTTAAAACTGCAGATTTTCAGGCCCCAATCCCAGAATGTCTGCTCCTGGAGGGGCCCAGGATATCTGCACTGTAGGCAGCTCCTCCCAGGTGACTGACTCAGGCAGCTTAGGCGCACGCCCTGAGAAGTACCTTATAAACTAGCCTTAGTCACAGTCACTCTTCCTGGCACTGGGGCCTCCGGCCCTCCGCCCGCACTCCACCGTGTGCAAGATCTCCCATCCACTCCCTGCCACAGCTTCTCCACCAGTGCCAAATGCTTGCAGTGCCCTGTCCATACCCTACAATTTCCCTACATGTGGAATGTCTCCTTGTCATTGTCAAGCAATTCTCCACGTCTTTTGGGACTCTGGCACTGGAGTCACCACCTCCAGGAAGTCTTCCTTCAGGAAGACCCTCCCCAGGCTGGGTGGACAGCCTTCTTGTGTACGCCTACTACCCCTGGCTCCCTCACTCCTGCCTGTCTATCTGACTCCCATCCGACCCCACGGATCTCAAACCAGGCCACTCAGTATAATTATGACAACAGATTTTTAAACACAAACACACATGCATGCATGCGTGCGTGCACACACACCCCCTCTATGCAGGCCCCAGCCCAAACACAGATTCTGAATTTCCTAAATCTCCTTAGGGTGCACTCTGAGCACCTGCATTTTTTTTTT